CTGATTTCAGAAACACAGTGACAGAGAATTGCAAAGTTTTCTCGCCTCACTGCGTGAGGGCTACCTTGGGTAAGAATTTGGCTGACAGATTATATTCATGTCAAAGCACATAGCTCAGTAACTAAAAATAGTTAGAACGAGAATTGGTATCTGGCAGTTTTTGCAGGGCCATGGTTTTATGCTCATATAAACTCACTGAAATCTGTTAAGGCCAATCACTGTAAGGCCGGAGTGTAACTGTGGTGAAATGGCCCCTAGATTGTTTTTAATGCTCATCCCAAGTTGCATTCTTAAACACATATTCACAGACCACAGGATCCATTTGTTATCATTTATCACAACAACACTAAACAATCTGGCATAAACATATTCTTTCATTCATGCCAAGAACTGCTCTGCACCCCTTGGATCCCAGGGAGGGCACCAGGAAGAGCAGATGTTCACCCCTTCTTCTCATCAGTCCCTGGTCTGGAAGCATTTTCATATATGATTTTATCAACTTTAAAAGTAATGATTCAATCCTGCAGCCTTTCCTCCCATCAGCTTTATTTATTTAAGTGACTAGAGCTGCAGAAAGCCTGATAAAGAAAAGCTGCAATACCAGGCTCCTTAATTCTTAGTTGCTTAGATAATGCAATTGCATACTGCAGAGTGCATGGAGAGAGACTTATAACAAACTAGGGAATCCTGTTTTCTGTCAAAAAAACCACTTCCACGTGGCTACGTGGCTGCTGCTGGCAAACTGCAATAGCTGAGGCAGTTTGAGCACCAGTGTTTCTAGTGCTTTTTTAGCCAGTGAAAGAAATAGTGGTTGGGTTGGGCCATGGCTGCTCGTAGATTCACAGGGGTGGACAGGGCTCTGCAGCATTTCCAGCCCAATCTCCTGCTCAGAGAAGGCACAGTGGGAGCAGGCTGCCCAGAGCCTCGCCCAGCCAGTTTTGAGCACCTCCAAGGATGGAGATGTCATGCCCTCTCTGGGCAACCTGTTCCACGGCTTGGCCACCTCCACTGCAAAAGTATTTTCCTTTCAGGAAGCCAGAATTTGCCATGTTCCAACTTGTGTCTGTTGCCTCTCCCCCAATACCCCATCTCATCCCATTGTAGGCTATTTTGTACAACATGGAAAACCCAACAGTTTCACTGAGCTCTACTGAAGGATGTAATGGCATGGGACCACTTAGTGTATGCACTTCATGAAACAGACCACCTTCTCACCTCCCACAGCACTACAGAAATGAGGAAGAAACTACTTTGAGATCCTCTACCAGAGAGAAAAGCCCTCAAAACTGGTGACTGCAGTAACAGGACTGCCAGGGAATGGTTCTGGTGAGGGATCAAGCACAGTGGGGCCGTGGGGTAACACTGCTCCTGCACACACAGAGGGCAGGGCTCCTGCTCAGGGCAGTCAACCAGAAGGCAGTTCTTGCTTATCGACCAAGATGTATACTGCAGTGTCTGAGGGGAAAGCAATCCTCAGAGCAGATGTGCTTCACGCTCGCCCTGGATGGTTGGACTTCACCTCAGCCTGTGCTGGACCACATCAAGGTCACACACACTAAAATCACACACCTTATCAGGCTTTGCAGGGATTAAGCTGAGCCAGTGCTGAGGAATTGCCTACACCAGAAGAACGCTGCCATATGAAAGCAACACCAGCATATAATTGAAATAATTTATTTACCACTAGAGCACCACAAAACCAGACATACAATGTGTTAAAATACAGAGTAATCGATCACCAAAGTACAACACAGCTGTCCTTTAAATTCCTTTTTTTTTTCTCCTTTAAACCATGCCAACCATACAATTGTACTGATGCTAAACACGTAAAAAATGCTGTCCTACCCCACCCAGCTAAGTGCTAAGATTCCCCCTAAGCCCCAGTCAACCCCTTGGGTCTGATCTTTCAAGGTGCTGAACATTTCCCACCAGTGCTCAAGGACTTTGCTCAGACAGTGGCAATTACCTTGTCGTGATAAGGCCTCTGGCACAAAGTCCTTGAGCTGTTGCAGACCCATCTAAACATCATTTGAGGGGGATTTTACATCAGACCTGAGTAGTGCTTAGGACTCACATTACCCCACTCTTGTAGAGGGGAATTTCACCCATGAGTTCTGCACATTGTAGGATCAGGCCTGACATCCTTGGTAATTAAAAGGGAAACACATGCCTAATAAAAAAAAACAAACAAAAAAAAATTATACGAGCTTTGTAATAGAGTATTTGAAATACTATCAGTGCATTCTGAGGAATAAAAAATTAAAAAAAAGTATTCAATCTTGGGGTAATGACTTACAGAAATAAGGTTTCATACTTAAATTTAGGGAATACCTCCAAACCTAAACTGAAATTTTCAGCTGCGTCCAGCGCATAGTGAGTATAGTTGGACAACTATGCCATGTCCTATTCCACTTTTTCGAAGCTTCAAAACTGGTTTTGAGCTGCACTCCCATAGCAGAAAGTTGAAAAAATGTTTTTAGATTTTGTTCATCCTTGTCTCCTTTCCTGTCCAACAAAAATACAGTTCTCATACTGAACCTGATAAAACTAATTTTGCTGCCGTATACAACAAAATCCAGAGTATTTACTACCCTGAGGAGTTTCACTGAGTTCAGTGCATCTTCTCACTGGAGTAAGTCTGGCTCAAGCAAGTGTTAGCAGGACAGATTTTTCACTTGTTCATCTCAACTCACTAAAAAAATCAGAAGTCTAACATACCTCCTCCTCTGCGCTGAGTCAACGTGTGGGATTAGATCATCTGTGGGGCTACGTTTCCACCTAGGCAATAAGCGCAGGCTCTACTGAAGTCCCGAGGAGCCGCGTGTGCAAGCCGCTGCAGTACTTCGGTTTTGCATCAGTGTTCTGCTGAAGCCAAAGAAATTGCACTTCTTACAACTGGAGCTGACAACATCAAGCTCAGGAGCGTCCTCCCGACACCGCTCGGGTCAGTGACAGAAAATGTCCTCATCCAAGTAGAATGTTTCTAACGCAGTTTTCCAGCTTTGCCGTGCAAAACCATTCATCGTGTGAAATAACTGGATGCGCCTTCTTCATGATATTTTTGCTAATTTAAGGTTGGGGCTTTTTTCAAATGAAGACTATGATGTGGTTGTTTTTTTTTTTTACTCCCTCTACAATATTTAAATGTGTAACAGCAACAGAATACCCCATGTTCTTTTTTCCTTTTCATTTTTTAAAAGAAGCTTTAATGTGAACTGAATAATAAAAAAAAAATTGGCAAACTCACATAAATCAAGGGTCTGATCCTGCTAATCCTTACACACACACCAATAGCCTAAAGGGGGCTGCCGTGCCACTGCAGAAGTTAAAGGCAAAGCTCTGTTACCTGCAGTAGGGGCAGGATGGGTCGGTCCCATGGACTGACTGCGGGGGCAGGTCTCCGCTGGGCACGGGGCCAACGCGTGGCCTCTGACCGCAAACTGATCCCGCTCATGCCCTGTTCGGGGCATCGCTGTGGCAGACGCTTCCTACCAGCCTTCCGGACAGTGGTGAATGTCATTCTCTGCAAGGGTTTGCCTCGCCTCAGCCAGGCTGGGATACCTCTTCTTGCAACACCTCGCTCCCTGCCCATCTGTTTGAATGTCTATAGCCAAAAGGAAATAAAAAGGTATAGGAATCCGAACCGTATCGCGATTCGGGTGTTACAAAACGGGGACAACCGAGGAGGGAGGGGAGGAGAGGGGGAGAGATTGCTTTAATCCATCCTTTTTATGAAACAGAAAAACAAATGGAGTCAGGTAGCTTATGTCATAATGATGAACAATATACAAAGCACATGTATAGCAATTATTATAAAACATGTATTTGTAGTGCAAGTCAAAATACAGGGACTCTACTCATACTGGCCAGCTAGAGGGAAACACATGATTCTGAGTGATCAAAAAGAGCCCCAAATTCAAATTCAAACTCATGAGAGCTGACAGTATTACAGAGTACAAAAATATGGTGAAAATTTACACATTACACATAAAGTACTTAATTTTTTAATAGTTTACAAATAGAGATCTACAGATATGTTTCCAATTAAGCTGGCTTTTACTACCCACCTATTGTAATACTCTAGGTATGGTTACATATACCAAAAGAACAAAAAAGTCCCATAGCATAGCTATACAGCAACATATTAAGGTCTGAAGATTAGACCAGTACATGTTAAATATTTCACTGGTTTACTAAACTGACATTTTAAATCATTTACAGTAAAAAAAAAAAAATCTTATAGACTTGTCTTTGAGACTGAAACAGAGTGTCCTTTATTAGTAAATTATTCAGTATTTAAAACAAGGGCTTGAGACCTTACAAGAAGCCTCTCTAGGCAGCTGGCATGAAAAATAAGGTAATTTAAAGGCAGAGTTTCTCAATAATGCAATAACCGACTTCTATTTTAATCGAACTAAACTAACCATTACTTTGATTCTTTTGAGCTCGTGTTCCTTTAGGCTTTACATGTATTTCTGGCAGCTTATTTGGTCTCCACTTTGTCCACATTGGCTGGTTTTCTTTTTTCCAATGGCGATACGGAAATGTTCATTTGATAGTTTTTACACACAAATAAATAATGCACTGTTAACTCTACAGCTAAGAGGAATGGGTAGGATGCCTATTGCGTAACAATACAGAGAGATCAAGTAAGGCATGGGACAGATACAGCAACTCCACTTCATGGGATTTTCCTGTTTTTTTCCTTTCACATAGTAACACTAACAAATTTCTTCCAGTGTTTATTTTTTAAAAGGTTTTTTTTTCTTTAACTTTGCTTCTTGTCTATCTCACACTATGTGTAGGTGAAATGTAGGATAAAGGCCTTCAATGTTTTGCTTCTGATGCCAGTTTAAAAAAAAAACAAAACAAAACAAACTTTCAAACAGTTCAGACTAGTACCGCTTTTTTTCTTCTTTTTTTTTTTTTCTTTTAACACTGATGAACCTGGGTTTTCATTTTTCTTTCTTTCCTTCTCGCTCTTTCTTTTTTTCCTTGGTGGTTTTTTTTTAATACACACACATCATGCTGTTTCAGGAATATCCTTTAGCTGCACTTGCAAGACTTTACAATCATGTTGGACAGCTGTTCGATTTTAGGTGTTTTGCCAATGTAGTAGAGGATGGTGAGGGGTTCCAAATCCTGGGACACACAGCACGGAGAGGCAGAGGCTTCTGGATTTATGGTGTTATACAAGCTGAGTACCTAGAAGGAGAAGGGGAAAAAAAAAAAGAGAGATTAAGACTGCAGAGCAAATTCCTTTCTGCATCGCTTCCTCCCACAGCGCCTGAGAGAAAGCCCACCGAAAGCAGTATGAAGATTCCTGGATTTTAATATTTTTTATGCTTCTCCAGTTCGATCTGGTGTCATAATCTGCCCAAATTTCCTAAGGTTTTATCCATACAGTCTTAAACCTCAGAACAGGTATGTGCCTGGAGCCTGCTTTGAAAGCATAGCCCTTTGAATCAACACGCACACTGTATTGATATGGAAAGAAGAAACTGAAAGGTTTTTGTCTGTATCTTCAGACTGCCATTTGCCATTACAAGATTTTGGCTTTACAAGTGCACCAAAGGGAGAAGAGAGCCCTTCAGAGTATACGTGCTCCCCTGCTTTTCCTCTCCAGCTACGTTTTACAAAGTCTGTAAGTGCCTCCCTGCAAGCACCAGGACTCAAGCTGCAGTTACTCCTGTTGAGAATCAGCTGCGGTGAAGTGAGCAGCGCTGGTGCTTTATGTCACGTTGGATTCGTATGCATGGTTCTCTGCAAGGGAAGTATGTAGGGTTACCCACTGATGATGCATAGGTATTTCTGAGGATGCCATTAATGTGTTAGCCAAACACCAACTGACCTTTTCCTAGAACTTCCACACAACATTTGCAGCTCAAAGAGACAGAAGATCTGTTCAGGACAGCAACACTAACTACTTTATTAAGCAACTTCTGACTCCTTGGGCAACTATCCAAACCACATATTTGTGACCATGACAGTTATTCTTCCTCTTTCCTTTAAAAACAAGTGCTGTCCAAAATGTGTACACTACTACTCCACACCAGCAGGGAAACATCCTTACCTTATTTATACCTCTGCCTGCTGACATTGCTCACAGTACGACACCACAGCCAGTGACAGCTACGAAGGATACCTATCTATACCTGGGCCTCTAAGTTCAGGACGAACACGCTATTGTAGCTTTAGAAACCAAAGGGAAAGCAAACTGTCCCTTGGACGTGAAGAGTTCTCCCTGCTGCCTGACATTGATCTGGTAGTTTGAGGGAGGCTTGAAAAAGGGGAGACGTCATTCTTAGAATGGACCTGAGGGTGAAATTCTTACTTTATGACAACTGCGATGCAAATGTCTGCCTCTTGCATTTATTGTCTAGACATCCTTATTGACAGGTGAGAGAAATAAGCACTTCACAGCAGACTACTACTCATCCTAAGGCAGTTGGCTAAAATACCACATCTAATCCCTAAAATAAAAAGTCCCATCTCAGACGTCTACTGGTTCTTCGGCATCCCAGACACAAGGTTCCTCCTTTGCGTATAAATTTTCAAAGTACAAGAATGAATACATCTTTTGAAGTAAAAGAAGCACATCTATCAGTACATTTTAATGAAATTCAGCATGGCAGCATATCAGTAACAATGAAAAATGAAAAATGGCAGGTCATAAAAGTAGGTGATGATCAGGTGGTGCAACTCAGCCCTTCTGTAACTCTGACAGTGCTTCCCTCAGTGCCTTTGCTGACCAAACTCATTGTGCTGTCTTCCATTCATTCTCTGTAATGAAAAGTCTCTTCCCAGGCAGCCTCCCAAAGCTACATCAAGCTCATACTCACAAAATTCATCCAATCCATCCATATATAATACTGATGAACACATTAAAAAAACTCATCACCCTTAGTTACTGAGATATTAAATACAAGCTTTGGGCACTGGTGCTGATGCCAGGCCTAGAAATGTATTTCACCCTGCAGTTATAAAATAGAAGCTGAAAATTAGCAAAATCATTACTTACTCTGCTGTGCTGAGTATCTGAGCTCCATAAATATGGGCAGGCTCCTGCACAGAAATTAGCATGATAGCCTTTAGGTTCATGAATCCATTTCCAGCCAAGATCCCTCTTGAAGTCAATATAAAGTGGACGCAGACAGCAATTATCCTGCACATTCCTGGGAAATAAAATATAAACACACACATTGGTCATAACAAAGACAACACAGAGAATAAAATTAATCTGGTTGCTTGTTCCATGAATGATGCTTTACAGGCACGCAAGTCCGAGTCGTGAAAATTCACAACCAAATCACATCAATAGTAGCTTATACTGTAACTGAAATCACATGCTTAGATGTGGCAGGACTTGCTTATATAGACAAAGCTAATGGTTTCCCTGGAGGACTAGTAAATATTTTTCTCCAGGTCATACTGAGTGGCTTCTCTGAGTAGGTGAGCACAGTGGAGGTGATAATTTGGCTGTGATTATGGAGCTGATGGGTCTGGGAATCATCCCAGATGGAACTCAGCTTCTGCTTTCTAAGGCCACAACCTTCCTCATCTGCCACTGTCTCTGTGGGATTGGAGACTGCTGGGCAGACAACTGCTGCACACAGACCCCGTGCATGGGCCTGCGAATGAGGGTCCGCGCTCTGTGTAAATGCCAACCGTAAAGAAACATGATAAGCATCTGCATTAGACCTCACAGGCTGGTACTACTATGCAAGTATACTGAATATGGATGCATAGTTACCTAAAACAATAGGCAGCATCTAGAGCACGCTTCTTCCGCCGACTGGGCTGTTGCGACTCAAGTCTGTAGGAGGGTAATAACATTAGCAGAAGATGTGGGGTCTTCCCACTGTATTTTTTCCTATTGGACTTTAAAGCTTTCACATCACCACTGGAATATGTGTAGTCATCAATACCTTCAAAAAATACATTTTGGTGATAAACATTATGTTGCTTTTTCTTCACAAATTAAATAAACCATCTTTTTAAAAAAATTCTCTCAGAAACTGGGCAATGATGGTGTCAGCTGAGAATGTTTACTGGCGAATGGGGGAGGGGGCAAATTTCAACCCAAGGCCCCTAAGATATTCACAGTTCTCATGTTATCTATTGTATCAGCCCTCCCACATTCACAGCCATTTAGTGGCATTTCAGTACATTTACCAGAACTTTTGAAAAGATTACTTCAGTCACTGCATCTGCATTGCTTAATTTCAAACGCCCCAAGCAGTGATGCTTTTGTCACTTCACTTAGGGCAGTAGTCCCATCTTTTAACAGCTATGTACCTTTTAAAGCCTTGTAAGACCATTAAAGCTGCTCTGGATACTTCACCTGCATTTCCTACTGCATACTTCCAACCCATTAGTTTTCTCCATCACATTTACCTCTTTCTAATGCTTGTAAATTCTCTGTCTCCCATAGCTAGCTTAGTTAAATGTGCTGATTCTTTCCAGAACATCAGTTATTCTAGCCCCTTCTTTTGTATGGACATGGCGAGGACATTGATCAAAATATTTCTTCCTGAAGTGGCAATCAGTGACCTAGCATTTTGCATTTTTTTTGAAACACAAACTGCCTTACTAGCTTCTTATCACAGCAATAGCACAGGCAAAAGACTCAAGGTATTAGCCTTTCCTGAGAGCCCAAACAGCTCATGTTATGCCTGTTGCTAAGACCCTTTTGAAAATTAACCTCCTGGACCAGGTAATACTATCTAAAAAGATATACTTTTCTTTTTGTAACATTTGCAATCACAGTGACCGAAGATCATACTAACAATTTTTTAAACACACACAACGGCTTTAATCACATGTACAGTCCATGTATTTACTTAAGAGAAAAAATTCCAACGCAGTGAAACAACGGCTAGAAAAACTTAATACTTGACAAGGAATATAGCCAAATCCTTGGAAAACAAATGAACCAAATAATTATATAATTTAATAAATCAGAACTGTACATACAGAATTTGGGTTGGTTCTAATATAGCCATAGTTTTATATGTACCGGTGGATGATAACTATAGCACAGTCAAATAACATTTCCCTTTTTGAAACTGAAACTTTAAAGGCTTAAAAACATAAGGGAACTTATGTGACCTTGATATATGTACGCTACATCACCTTGTCTGCTGTCCATAAGAAGCACATATATCCAGAACCCTAACTACGCACTGTTGTTTATTTTTTAATGCCCACTCAATCCAATCTTTCAGTTTTTACCAAGCTAACTGTCAGCATAAAAAAACCCTCTGTGTAACTAATATGCAAATAAGTTACAATAAATTCTACATGCCAATGTGGATATATAGAAATTATCAATGTTAACTAATGTAGTTTTGTTGACTACACCTGAGAATCAGACTTCCACTGCTGGAAGTAGGAGCCCATTGAAAGGCACACCATTTCTGTTTCTGCAACGCACAATGCACTGGCAGTAAAACACTGTAGGACATTTATATGAGTCTGGCACCTATTGTCCAGCTCTTCCCAAAGCAACTGATGCCTTTGCTAAGAGTACTTTAAAATACTACTGATACGACCAGAAAAAAGAAGGGGGAAAAAAAAAAAAAAGAGTAGCTGAGTAGCTGGAAATATTTATGCAGGTACTTACAAAGACTGGGACCTTCTATACTCAGTGAGGACAAAGGAAGGTGCTTCTGTAAGCAAAGCAGCCAACTGTTGCCTTAACTGTACTTTGGAAATGTTTAACACTCGTAAGACACACCATGCTCCCACACATGTCTACTGCAAGCAGCTTATATCCCTGCCAAACACCATCCTAATGCTGCTCTCCAGTCGTAGCCTTCTCTAACTAAGCCTGAACTGTTACAGTGCTAAGATGGACAGCAGTCAAAGGGTTTATTTTTAAAATATTCAACAAGTTTTCTCATGACTATCCAACAGTGGATGGTTCACCTTTTTGTTTCCCTCCTCAATTATTAAGTACCACCACATTTTTAAAAGTTTTTTTTCTTTTGTTACCTGCAAATCTTGCTTCAAGCTCCTCACTTTTATTTGGGATGATATAATTATTGGAAGGCACAAAGGTGCAGCACGGACAATGTAAGCTTATCTTAAATCCAAGGTTCCTGTCTGCAAAACATAAAAGTAAGTGGAGCTGGTTTTTACACGTGGAATGACTCTGAAATACTGCTGAGTTAATGGAGAAGCAGCTGGGGCAGGAGTGAAGGCAAAGAGCGCTTGTTGTCACCTCTGTGATGGAGCCACTCATGTACAGCCTCAGTGACATCAAAAGACAACCATTCTCCTTCAGCTCTTGTTTTAACTACTTTGCTGTCAATGTAGCGCTGTCCTGGTGATGATAACTCTTTAGATTTTAGAACCTGCAAGAAACAACAAGTATGATTGCCTACAGGTTAGCATTTACCTGTTTTTTATTAAAATGGACCACCAACATTATAAAATAGCAGAAGAACCCATTACAACTCAAACCTCTATGCAGCTGAGGCACATTTTCAGAAAGAATTTTCTTAGGGCATGTGCAGAGAGGAAGGTGATATAAAAACACCCTAGTGAAATCAGCTTACACTCCCAAGCAAAACATGCCATCACATATTCCTTCCTAAGAGAAATCACACAGAAAGACTGCCCTGAAAACTTGTCCTGCAACACAAGTGCTCAAGAGATCATAGTAACTGGAACATCAAAAGATGCTACTTTACCTTCTTCAGTAATACTTACACTGGTTAGAGGACAGTATCGGATGCTAAATTAAAGCCTGTACAATGCAGTTTGTACACTGAAGATACTGTATTGCTCACCCATAACTAATCTGCATGGCATTGCCTTATTCATGCTTCCAGCCTTCCTCCTCACTTCAGGTACTAGTTACGCATTAAACAGAAAAAAAAGTTATTGTCCATACCGGGAACCTGGGGGCATGCAGAGACAGCCTGGTGTGAATCGTGGCCACACATGGATTTGTGCAACAGGCGATGCTGCTTCCATCCAAACTTTGATGCCAGCTATATTTATATTTGTGTCAAAATTTCCAGCAAAGCTTGCTACTGAGCACGCGATAAAAAAATGCCTGTACATAAGAAACCCAGCCCTCCCTTTCAAGACATAGCACTGCATGCCTAGAATTTCCAGTGCCCACAGTCCTCCTCCTATCTAAACAATTCAGCAAGTGCCTGCCCACATACAGGCATAGCCTGCTGTTATTTACCCCAACTCTAGCATGAAAACAACTGGACTTTTGGCTGCTAACAGGTTTCTGGTGTCCTGGTTATTACTATGTTGATAGTTTTGCGATGCAGGAAGCTGGAATGCCATGCAACGTTAAGTCAACTCTAATCAAGATACCACACGATAACATCGCTTTGTAACTTTTGGCATGCCAGATGTGCGACTTCATATATTGTATCGGGTTCTTCCTCTCTTTTACCATCCAAGTCCATCTCCAAATGAGTAACTGACAATGTCTCATTGTTTCCTCCTATTTTCTCAGCCCAGACCAACCTGACATCTAGCAAATGCTACTGGAATAAAACAATGGTGAAACTGCATAATACATGTAAAGAAAAATATTTCAAAAGAGGTGTGAAATTATGTCATCATGATAAAATTAGGCTTTTCATAATTAAACAGAAAAGCAGGCTTGAAGAGACCAGATTCTGTCCAACATGCAGAATCTCCCTATTTATTTGAAGGAAGTGCTGGACCTCTCAAGGGCTAACAGTGCAGCTCCCACAATAACATTTGTCTATGAGAAGAACAGCAGTATGACAAGCTCTTTGCCTTCTTTCTGATCAACACATTTAGCAAAAAGACATGAGAAGATGTTGGTCCAATTCCAGAAAATTATTAAGTGCCCCTAGTAGGCGATGCTGAGTTCTCCAGTAGAAACTGAGGGCACTCAAACGCTGAACACTGGGACTCCTTTTTATGAGGCAACCTTCAAACAAAGTGTTTGAACAACTGTTTACAGAGAGTCTGGCAGCAGCAAGGGGACTACCATTGCTCAGAAGTGCCAGAGGGATGAGAGAATCAGTAATCAATGCTGGGAAAGTCCCAGAGAAGTACAAATATAACCTTGCCTTCCCTTTGGTCTTTATCAGGTCAACCCAAGTGTTTCTGAGGATGTAATGCAGCTGTCATTCTGCAAAGATGTGTTGGGGCAGGGGGTGTGTGAGGCGAATGGGACACAAGAACTTGGCTCATTTCTCTTCCTTTCTGCGCAGTCATATCTTTCCAAAGACTCCAGAAACTGCATACCTCAGTTTTGGCAGTGATGTAAGGATCTAAAAGTAAGTAATGTGCCAAAAGCAATCTCCTGATGTTAACTATAATTGGTCTTAGATATGTTCTGAAGACTCAGCCATGCCTTGCTATGCAAAATAAAATGTCTTTATCCCAATCCCATTGCTACTAAAAGCCAAGTCGAGGACTGGCAGTGTGTACCTGGCATGAAAGGCATTTGTAAAAGTACAAGAAATCATTACTGCATGTGTCCAATGGTACAAAGAACATCCATCCTCTCTGATGAATTAAAGGACAAGAAAAGCATTTGCAGGTTTTAAAACTGTAGGACACTGTGGGACAGGATGGACACTATGAATTAAAAGAGCTAGATATTATCCATACTACGGTACCTCTGATACCTGAAAGTAAGGCTTCTCTCCATGTTGTTTATGCTGCATGTTTAGGAAGAAAAATTATGAAGAATGAGCTAAGAAGTCACAAAGTAAGTATGGAATAATTTCCACAATTGACATCATGGGTTAAACAGGTACTAGCAGTTCTTAAAGCAAAAGGCTGTAAGTGTGATGAGTGCCACACTTAGTGAAATTAGCACGTCTGCTTCAGTCTCCTCCTCCTGGGCTGATTAAGTATCTTTATAGCATTAAGGTGATGTATGATCTTAACAACTTGATTACTTGTAAGCAAGAATGATCTTCTAGCCTCACCATTTCCATTTTTGACTTCTTTTTCTGTTACATCATTGCAATCGTGGAAAGCTCATGGATGATAAAATCCTACGCTGGATCCTCAGTCTATTCCCTCCCACAAAATAACCTGAAGGACTCTTCACTTCTTTTCCTACACTGCATTCTATGTTTCCATCCACATTGAAGCAACTGCACTCTAAACGGTGGTAAAAATGTGGCTTCTTTGTATGGACCTATCAGAAATTTTTGCAGCTACAATATATTGTTCACATGAGTCTTCCAGATATTATTACATGAGGTAAGTATTTTAGGTTTCCTCTGCCATTTTACCCCTTTGGTTTGCTACTTTGTACTTTGCACTACATTTCTGGTCTTACCTTCCCTATCAGCAACACACATTTTTCTTCCAGAACACTCTTAAGCCTATATTCCCACTGGAAAACTTCTCTTTCAGTATTTCCAATACTTTCTTCCTATTTGATCAACTGCTTTAGTTGCAAGAAAGAAGAAAAGCCTTTTCTGTGCCTTACAGCTTTTGTGCTTGAAAGCTCATCTACTTCTTCCAACTATACTGATTGGTCTTAGAAGAGATACTACCTTTACCCGTAAACATCGCCTTGCCTTGCCTATAAACACTGCCTTACCTTTATGCTTAGCCCATCGCAACCACATCAAACACTGTTATTAGAAATGTTGCTGCACAACGTGTATCTGCAGGAGCTAAATGAAGGCCTAAAAACTAGGCCTTTGTGCAAAAGAGTTTTCAGTGCACTAAAAATATTAACAGAAGACAAGGAGAAAAAAAGAACCAAAACACAGGAGAGAAGAAAGACTGGGTTAAATTTCCCCTTTAATCCTTTCTCGCTACCTTCTGGCACCTTGTCCAAACACTGCCTCTTAAAGAAGCAGAGAGTTGATATGTCTATGGGTCATGACACGGATGGCTAGGGCTTTTGGGGTGGGGGGAGTACCGTGCATCACCACCTGCATATGGAGGTGACAGATTCAATCACTTGCATGAGTAGGAGACAGAGTTTTCACACACACAACCTCACCTCCCTTGCTTACAAGCGACATGTTTAAACATCTGCAAACCCAAGTAGCTGACGATGCACAACAACCGCACGCGTGCAGGTGCGAGCATGCACACCTTCACGCACGCATGAGTGAAAGCTCAAAATCAACAAACTCAAAATTCCAGTTGTGCAAAATCTCTGCAGCTTCTGAACATGGGGATGTTCTTCCAGGGGTATCTGTTTATTCGATCTTGTTTTCAACAGAGCAATAATGCAAAGCTGCCTTTTCTAAGAAAGGATTATACGGGGAACATATGCATATGATCACACTAGGTGGGGATGAGCTGAACAGGAAGAAGTGTTACCAAAAGGTCATCCAGCAGAATTCTAGCCCAGTATGCAGAGTAATTTTCATTCAGTAGCAATGCTTGAAATTCTAAGAACAATTTGTTTTTGTCTACCCTCTTTTTGTACGGAATTCCTCCCTTTCACAGGAAATCAAATAGTTAGCCAAAACGTTTGTTAATCTCTTCTTGACAAAGTATCTTGTACACTTAAGCCCTGCCTTCTAGCTGTCTTTTTCTACAGGCACTGCTAACGTTCCCCTTGTTAATTTTTCTTCTATTCTGACCCTTCTTAAAAATACCTGGGGAAAAAAATAATCTTACAAATACCCATGAGGGATCTCTAGATACCACATACATTAAGCTACTGCCAGCAGATCAAAGCAAAACAAACACATGAATACAGGAATAATGCAGTTAATTGCAGGAAAGGGCTCATGAAGCAGCCAGATGCAAGCAAAGCATTGCTCTTGCTTGTACAGAGACACACGTTTATGAAGCCCAGTTGGGGATCTCGGTGATGACAGCACTCACATGCCACCCTCATCAGGCCTGCCAGATTTCTGGTATTTTAGAAACCCCGTTGAAATCTCCTCTTCACTGGTTCTGCAAAGGCGTTCTGCTCAGCCGGAGGCCAGATCATGATACTATCTTGGAAGCGTATCCCCAGTCACCATGACCAGGGCATTCAGTGGTGAAAAGCCTTAGTTTTATCTCAAACTGTTTTCAAAAGAATGACAAGTGAGTTTCCAGAAAATACTGATGTCTAAGTTCTGCCACCTGCTATGCTTATTTTTCACATCCACTGGAGAGCATTAACTGATACATTTTTTTAAAATTTAAGTGTCAAGTAGCCGAAATATTCATTAAAATACTGGAGGATGAAACTGTTTATTTATGCACACATGCTTATACTCTCAAGTAACTATCACACAGTTCTGAATATAAAAATAAGGACAAGGATTGTCTTAGTCTGTATTTTATAAAGTACACTGAGAACACTATAGAATTCATGATAACAAATAAAGTAGAATGTTTGCAAAATTAGCAGAAACATGGCTTCTTTAAAAAA